AATTTGTTTTCCATTGCTGTGAAACAATACCACCAAGAGCAGTTTAAAATAATGTCCATTTATTATTTCCTAGTTCCATAGGTCTTCCTGGTGGCTCAGATGGTAAAGAGTCCTCCTGCAATGCAGAAGACCTGGCACGATCTCTGGGTTGGCAAGATCCCCTAGAGGAGGGCAGGGCAACCCACTCCAGTGTTCTTGCCTGGAGAATCCATGGACAGAGGAGCCTGGAGGGCTACAGTCCATAGGGTCGCAAATAGTTGGACACGACTGAGTGATTAAACATAGCACAGTTCTATAGGTCAGCAAGTCTAGGCATAATTGGGGTTCTCTGGTCAGTGTCATAAGAATGTAATCAAGATACTGACTGGACTGTGTTCTCCTATGAAGCTCAGAGTCCTCTTCCAAACTCCTTGGTTGTTAAATTAATTCAATTCTTTTTAGCTGTATGATCAAGATCTCCTTTTTCTTGTGAGTTAGCAACCATGGGCTGTTCTCAGATTTGCACCATGGGGCCCTCTCATATCAGAGCAGTTTGTTCCTCCAAGTCTAGAAGATTTTATCTCATACTTTGAATCTCTCCAACTTCAAGAAGCACCCAATCTCTGATTAGGTCAGGTTCATATCTCTGGTCCATCTCTGCTTGATTAGCTTAAAGTCAACTGATTACTAACCTAATCACAAAGCTATACCTCATCATATTCAGATTCTGCCCACACTCAAGACGAGAGGGTTATACAAGACATGTCTACCAGGGAGCAGGACTCTAAGAGATCCTCTAAGAATCCTGTCTTCAATAAAGGATACTGCTACCTCTTTTCGGGGCCTCTCCCCAGTCTTGATCCTGAATGTTCGTCAGTCTAACGGGGAGAAGAGACGAGGAAGGACTCACAGAAAACCTCACCAGGGAGAGCAGCTGCACCTGTCAGCACTGTTCCTTAGCTGACATTACAGCCAGAGGACTCTCTGAAAAATGAAGATTCAATTAATCTCTTCATTTTATCTACAGATGCTCTGAAGTGACTTTTTTTTAATCCAAATAGAAGGAAGAATCCTAAAAGAGGATTTGCCACATAGATGAAATAGCTTTTAAAGTCTGACACCTCCACTCCAGGACTGCTGTTCTGTAACACTCTTGATCTTGACCATGTAAGTCCTGGCCCTTTGAGGGGAGTTAAAAGACTAACAGATCTTGTTCTTCTACCAGAGGCCAGTATATCTCAGCAATTTGTTCTTTGTTCAAACCACATATAAGCTTTAAGGTCAAGTCTGTGGTCACTGACGGACAGTGCAATCCCTTTTAGGGAAAGAGATCTGTAGCCTTTTGGAAAAGCCTCAAGTGCATCTCTATTTTGTGTGTGTGTGTGCATGTGTTTTAAATTTTATTTTATTTATTTTTTTAAGTTCTTTTTATCATTTATCTTTATTAGTTGGAGGCTAATTACTTTACAATATTGTAGTGGTTTTTGTCATTTGCATCTTTATTAAATAACCATAGCCTCACCTGGAACTAACTGGATGGCTATATCTCCACCTGGATTTAACTGGATAATCCCATTAGTCTTTCAAAGATTTTTGTAATTTTCCTTTTGATGTTATCTAGAAACAGTTTATACTGGTCAAGACATCATTTCAGTTATGTAAACTATACAAAAGGCAGAGACATCAAAATATGTTTAGCCGTGTTGTCTATTGAGCTGATCAGATAGGGATCTGAAGAGTGTGTGTATGCATGTGTGTGTGTACATATATGTATATGTTTTATATAGAGAAAACTTTCTGTCCATTTTATTACATAGTCCTTTTGATTGCTTTACATATGACTAAGCTATTTCTGCAGAAACAAAAAGAAATGATGGGATCTTTAAAAACACCAAGTCAAGCATGACACAAATACAAAAAGACAAGCTAGGTATAAGAACAATCTGAAAAAGAGCACTTCTGAACCTTTTTAATACATTAGCAACCACAGCATATTCCGGGTGACCTAAATTAAAGGTTTTTTGAATATACTCCTTTGAGCTGTAGACGTCCCAAGGGCTCACTCTCAGTGGCGATGGGTAAGTGAGAGAGCTCAACTCAGGGCCTCATATGATACTTCTACCCACCGCAGTTCCACTGTAGTTTTTTAAGAAGCTAGGTATTGAGTTGAGAGGACTCTGTAAAGGCTCACATGGGAAAAGAATTTTAGAAAAGGGTGGGTCTATGATTCACTTTGCTGTATACCAGGGACTAACGCAGCACTGTAAATTAACTATACTCCAATAACAATTTTAAAAAAGCAGCAGCTATATAAAGTAAATTGGAAGGGAAAGGGAAAATTCCACTTCCATAAAAAGCATTTGAGAGTTACAGGCAAGGATAAGCTTTGTAGTCCTTTTAATGGCAGAAAGTTTAAAATTATGACTAGTCCTTACAAAGTTAATAGTTAACAGTCATGTCTAAATAAAACTTATCACCTGCTTTGGATTCCAAAAGGATACTTTCTAACACATCCAATAATAATCCAATGAATGGACCACAGAATTTTAAGATAATTCATCAGAAAGCTCTTTATAATTCTAACATCATTCTATGAATCTATGTGGTACAAATTAAACATGCAAAACTTACAAAGTCATTTCAAAAATTTTACTTCAAAATAATAAAAGCGTAATATGCAAGCATTTTAAAATAACAATTATAGAAACAAAACCTCAGGTTATATCCATAGTACTGGACGGTATGGACATTACACAGAGAAAACACCCTCTCTCAGCTTCCTTGTGAAGTGCTGACACTCACATCCCAAAGGCAAAACTAGAGGAGGGGAGATAGGCGATGGAAGGCTCAGGGGAAGGATGGGAGCACCTTGTGGGGCTCCTGAGCCAGAATCCTTTCCTTGTCCCCTGTTTCTTGTTTGTAGGAAATAGACTGTGGCCTCCGTGAACTACCCCAAGTTCCACAGGGCAGATTCGAACAGTTGCTAAACAGGAAAGGGAGGGGATACAGAGACAAGAGAGGAACAGCCAAGAAACAATAGTTCAGCTTTGAGACAGAGTCCAGGTTCTACCTCAAAAGATACACATAAAAATATCTTTAAACTCTTCACAGAACCAAAACCCCCAGCAAATGGAGGATGCCAGCATTTTCCATTCCAGATTAAAGGAACCAGAGATACTCATCAGATTACCTGAGATCAGATTGAAGAAATGCAAGCCCTACTGCACACATACCCTGATCTCAGCAACCCCACCCTTGAACCAATCACTATTAAACTCCTCCGCAAATCCTCCTGATGGCAGGAACCCACTGTGCCCCCCTCTGCCTGCAAAGCAATAATGCTATTTTCTACTTCACCCCAAACTCTGGTCTCTGAGGTTCAATTTGGCACCAGTACATAGGCCAAACTTTCAACATCAGTTTCATCCACTACCCAGAGATACAGGTATTCAAAACAACTCATAAAAAGGCAAAATTCCTACTATTTTCACAAATCTATGTTTGAAAACTATGGTCACACCTGCTCAATACCTGGGTCATACCTGCTTGAAAAATAAGGACATAACTGTTGAATTCCTGAGCCGAGAACATTCCCTGGAGGAAGAAATGGCAATAAGTTCCATTATTCTTACCTGGGAAATCCCATGGACAGAGGAGCCTGGTGGGCTGCAATTCTTGGGGTCACAAAAAGTCTGACATGACTGAGCACACCTGCTCAAAAGCTCAGTTAATGAATAACTATAGAACTTAATGCAAATAATGAACTGGCTAAGGTATTTTTATGGTTGGTGAGAAATTTAGAGACTGTTAAAAGTACTGATTGAGGTACATCTTAAAATCCAAGACTATATATACATATATTAATATATTCAAGTAACAACTACTCAGTTATATCCAACTCTTTTTGAATACATAGACTGTAGCCCACCAGGCTTCTCTGTCCATGGGATTCTCCAGGCAAGAATACTGGAGTAGGTTGCCATGCCCTCCTCCAGGGGATCTTCCAAACCCAGGGATCAAATCTGTATCTCTAACATCTCCTGCATTGGCAGGTGAGTTCTTTACCACTAGTGTCACCTGAGAAGCCCCAATAGGATATATTCAGTCATTCTGGAAAAAAAAAAAAAAGTGTTCGTGTTAGGTTATTTTGTTTATATGCTCTAGATTAACACTATTCAATAGAATTTTTGTTGATGATATAAATGTTCTGTATCTCTCCTGTTCAATTAGCCACCACTAACCATAGGCTCCTGTTGAGCATTTGAAATGTAACAAGTACCATTAAGAACTCAATTTTTAACTTTATTTCATTTAAATTAATATAAATTCAAAGAACCTCATGTTATAACAGTGGCCACCCCACTGGAAGTACCGTCCTGAAAAACACCTACCCTCTCATTTCTTTTACAAACAGCTTTGTCTTTCTCTTACAACCCTTTTCAAGGTCATCTCATAGACCCACAGGCAGAGGTATTTTTACCCTGCACTGTGCTTCCATGGAACTTTCTGCATTTCTTTATTATGGAACTTATCCATGGAATAGAAACTGTGCAGGTGCAAACTTGCCCTGATAAACTATAGTCTGCAGAACGGCAGGACAACGTTTCATTCTTGCCATCTCAGAATCCAACAGAGGGCTTGATATGCAGTAGGCTTTTGATATATTTTTTGAAATGAATGAAAGAAAAGAAGCCATAAGCAGCTGATTGAACAGGGAAGTTCTAAATGAACATTTAATATGTGTGGAAAACTATCCTTTGCCTGCCATTTTATTTTCTTACTCGCATTCATAAAACCATTTATGCCTTAGCAGGATCCTAGCTCCAAAGTAAAGAGAGAGTTTCTGCTTAAGTCATTTCAAGCCTATTGGATCCAATAAGCCTTATGGACACCATTGTGGTTTACAGCTGCAACTCATTTGCTCACTCGCCCTCAAACTGAGATGGTTGGTAAAGAGGCATCAGAACAAAGAACTTCCCTGTATCCCAGCCTGAAAACAACACAAGATGCAGTACACTTACCATCACCAACATCAAAGTCCTTGAAAGCCAGTTCTGACCCTGAATCATCAAGGAGGATTTCGCCGTTCAGTGTGAACATCATGGTGTGTTCTGTCATGTCAACCATGCACCCCACAACATCGCCAGCTTGCCAAGAGCGCCCATAGTGCTCATTGCCCTGATGCCACCGCTGGGCCTGGAGACAGGAGAGTCATTGTCACAGAAAAAGCCAGAACGGCGCCCGCCCACCGCCACTGCAACAATTCAGAGTAGCCCTTGTATTAACGTGGCGGGAGGAAGAAATGCAGTCAGCCCATCTGTCACAGCAACTCACCAAGTGATGTGGAGGTACCCAGGGGTTCTGAATCCTTGACAATAACATCATATGTTATTGAATGTTGAGAAAAACCCAAATGCTACTTCATGATTTAAGAGTCTATTATTTTAAAAAGTCAAACCCTATATCCTTTCTGTTAAAGGAAAAACTGTGTCTTTAGAAATTAATTTTTCTCACTACAATGAACACTTTCCAGGATATAAGTTGTTTTTCTCCACTCTCCAAATACAGAGAATTATGAACAGAGAATAAGCTGGGAACTGATCATTGAAAATGACATTGTAATTTTCATCTCTTTCAAAATAAAATTCCATTTATTGGAACCAGTGGCACTCACATTTTAGCAAAATAGAAAACTAGAAGCATTTTAGTATATACTAAAATGAGAAAAGGTTTGAATCAAACTTTAAAATATTAATATATTTACTGAAATAATAAGCCAAAAATTGTATATATATGTCAACACTGCTTTATATATAACACAGATGAAATCTCATAAATACATTTGAAACAGTCTTGATAAATGTGACTTTTGAATCTGTAAGTATATTCTAATGATTTACAGATACAAAACTATAGTATTTTATCAGATAAATCTTTTAATTTTCCCCTAATGTATCATCTTCATTGTAAACCAGTATATAACAGAACATACTCACCCATGCAAAACAACGATTCTTCTAAAGAATATAATCAAGCGACCGTACTTTAAAAAAACTTATTTAACTAAATTAGATACCAAAAGGTGTTAAATTTTTCTATCTGAAATAGAAAATAGGACTCAAAAAATGTAACATTTCAGAACAAAGTGGGTCAGTTGCCCTAGAAGACACAAAACTGATTTCTAGTCCAAAAATGCTTTCCTAGACACACACCTGGCTACCCAAATGTCAAATATCTTCACAATTGCTGATTTATTTTAATTTTCTTTTCTTTAATTAGGGAAAAAGCTCCCTCCCAAGGAAAACAAATTTACTGAAGAAAATTAGCAAATTAAAATAAGATAAAAGAATAAAATATCAATATATCAACCAAAACTGACAATTACTATTCTATTGTGATTATTTCCATATATACATATTTTTAATTTTAAAATATTTTATACAGAAAAAGTAAACATTCAATATTTATATAATGTACAAATAAACAATGTACCAAAAAAGAAGAAACTGACTAGCTTTCATCAAACTGAAAAAAATAAAATTACTCATAACATTGAAAATGGAAACTGTTGGTGATTATAAACAACAAACAGCATTACTATGGCTATTAAATGTTTATATCTATCATTAATTATTGCTTGAGGATAAATTCCTTCTATGGAATTGCTATGTCAAATGGATATATTTTGCATTAGCATATAGAGTTTTAATGCCTTTGATAGATGAGGATGATTCATCTTTTTTATATTATAGAGAATATTTAACTTCTTAAATTTTGAATAGTCTTGAATTTTCACAGGGTGAGGGGTCTCAAAATGTCTCAAAATGTTTTGAGACTACAAAAACAGAAGTTGTCCCAGAAACTATTCTCTGAGTTCGGGTTCAGGAAAGCACAATATTAATATTTTATGTGTGTGTACTGTTGTGTTCGACACTTTGTAACCCGAAGTACTGTAGTCTGCCAGGCTCCTCTGTCCATGGGATTTCCCAGCCAAGAATACAGGAGTGGGTCCCCATTTCCTCCTCCAGGGGATCTTCCCGACCCAGGGACTGAACCCACATCTCCTGCACTGGCAGGCAGATTCTTTACCACTGAGCCCCTGGAAAGCTGGACCATCACAAAGAAAACCAGCGGAAATGCAGTAAGGCAGTGTGGCGCTCACAGCGTGCGGATGCTTAGTGCACAGCAGCCTACAAAAGCAGAAACCCACAAACTCCAGTGTCTGCCACCCAGCAAAGCACACTCACCTTGAAGCCATCAAAAGCAAAGGCACGTTCATCTGAGCCAAGCTCCTGATCAGGTTGACAGCCTGGCCTGCTCCAGCCAACTCGCATGTCTCCAGCAGTGACCGCCTCGAATTCAAAATACCACCTTCCAGCCTTCACAGCGTATGTCTTCTCAGCACGGAAGATCCGGAACCTCTCTCCTCTGCCGCTGCACACGTCTGCTCTGGCAGCTGTGAATGTAAACGGGTTCTGGTGATCACCGGGTGGGGAACTGAAAGAGGAGGGCAGATGCCACCTCCTACAGGAGCAATGCTAATGATACCTTCTCTTGATTCGCATGTAACAAAGTATTTTCATATCAGATGGACTTTGGAGGCGCTGGTGGTTAAACTTCACTAACTCTGTAAGAGCAGATGATGATGAGAATTTTTTTTTCCTTTGGAAAAAAGTTTACCAGATACTTGGTGGTCTGCTAATGGAAACCAAAATGACAGTGGGAAATGAGATCACTCGAGGGCATGAATGGTAAGAAGACAATAAAAGAGGCGGACGTGGTGGGAGAAGCGAGGGGTGGAAGGAGTCGGGCGAGTGGCACTGACATATACATGCACTGCTGTGTGTAAAACCGATAGCTATTGCAAGGCTGCTGCACAGGGAGGTCAGCTCGATGCTCTGCGGTGACCTAGAGGGGTGGGGTGGGGCTGTCACACGTAAACATATGGCTTACTGGCGTCATCGTTCAGCAAAACTAACACAAAACACTGCAAAGCAATTATACTCCAGTTAAAAAAGAAAGAAAGAAAGAGACACTTATGGGTTGGAGAAAAGAGGGAAGAATCAGCCAGAAAGTGAGGAGGAAAGAGAGAAAACCACAAGAAAGAGAGAAGCATTCACAAAGAAGAGTAACCACTGACAAATTTCACAGACAGGATGCCTAAGTGCGTTAAGTGTTCCTCTAACCCACGTCTTCACTGTAATGTGCTATACATACCAATGCTGTTTAAGAGATTTGAGGAAAGAACAAAAGGGTCAAGTCCAACATCAGTGCTGTGTGAAGGGAAAACACATCTGTAGGAAATGAGATGTACATGAGATGGAAAGGAAAGTGAAGTCGCTCAGTCGTGTCTGACTCTTTGTGACCCCATGGACTGCAGCCCACCAGGCTCCTCCATCCATGGGATTTTCCAGGCAAGAGGACTGGAGTGGGTCGCCATTTTCTTCTCCAGGGGATATTCTCAACTCAGGGATTGAACCCGGCTCTCCCGCATTGCAGGCAGACACTTTACCCTCTAAGCCACCAGGGAAGCAGTGCCAGTGAAAACTTTAGACCAGGGAAACTGGAGCCAGGATAACTTTAAGAATGTCAGCTCCTAGGAATTCACAGTGCATGGGGACATCAGTCCCGTGAACAGATATCAAAGGGTATGGTCAGCTCTGTGAAGATCTGGGTTAAATACAGAGGAAGAAATTTAAGTGACTTGACCTACATCTCACAATTAACAAATGGCAGAATCTGAGAGCTGCCAAATGCTACAGACTGTGTTCTTTCCATTCTGCCTCCAGCAGCTGACATGGAATTAGTAGATACCAGCTACATATTAGTTCTCATCTATTCTCAAGTTAGGAAAGACCTTATAATTAATAAAAGTTTAATAAGAACTTAACAATTGATATGGCTAAACAAATAAAAACAGTCAAGATAAGCTCTAAAGTTTGCTAATTAACACACAGTTAGATCATCTTTAACAATTTAAGATTAGATTGAAGAAAAGAAAAATGGACTAAAGAGGTTCTAGCCCATAATAGGGGCTGCTTTAATGAAAGGATCAGTTATTGCTTTTTGATGATTATATGATGATTATAGGGCATATAGATGAACTATATCTGATAAACCTTTCAAAAGCTGTGTTAAGTTTCTGAATAAACATATTTTGTTTGTTCCCCTCACCCACATACACACACATGCTCACACCTAACAGCCTCGTCTGCTCCAGGCAAATCTCCTGTGTCCAATAGTGAAGCCTCAAAAGTCACACACTTGTATCATGCAAGACACTCAAACATCTTCCTGAAAAAATAGAGGCATTCAGGTCAGTCGCTCAGTCATATGCAACTCTTTGAGACCCCATGGACTGCAGCAGGCCAGGCTTCCCTGTCCATCACCAAAACCTGGAGTTTATTCAAACTCATGTCCATTGACTCTGTGATACCATCCAACAATCTCATCCTCTGTCGTCCCCTTCTCCTCCCAACTCCAGTCTTTCCCAGCATCAGGGTCTTTTCAAAAGAGTCAATTCTTTGCATCAGGTGGCCAAAGTATTCGGGTTTCAGCTTCAACATCGGTCCTTCCAATGAATAATCAGGACTGATTTCCTTTAGAATGGACTGGTTAGATCTCCTTGCAGTCCAAGGGACTCTCAAGAGTCTTCTCCATAACCACAGTTTAAAACCATCAATTCTTCGGCACTCAGCTTTCTTTATAGTCCAACTCTCACATCCATACATGACTGCTGGAAAAACCATAGCTTTGGGTTTAAAAATGATACATTTATACTCTTCTATAGAGCAGACAGCATGTACAACATTCTCTGAAGAGAAGAGGTTTGCTTTTTATACATTCAAATTAGGAGTGGAAAGGGACTTGAATGAGAAAAACCTTCATCTTTACCCTCTCCGTGAAGGGTAAAAATTTCTCACATCTATTATTTAAAAACTGAATGATTTTTGAAAGATTGAATAGTAAACTACTTTCCAAGGATAAGAAAATTTACTATTAGGAAGACAATTCTATATGTCGTGGTACTAAAAAAAAAAAAATAGGAAACAACACATTTCCAGAGTCAGTGTCTCCCTCAAAATAGAACACCAATCCATTGTTTCTTTAAGTAATGCTTGTAATCTTCCTGAAATGCATCATAGAGGTACAGAATATGATCAAGGAACTACATGTGCCTTGGGAGATTATGTGTCAGGAAAATAAAATGCCCTCACATATTTATCCTTATTTTTAGTGATTCTGACATTTGTAAATACAATCATACTTATTACATTCTCATGTGGACTAACAGATTAAATCCCCAGTTTCCTAAGTATGGAATATTCCATTTTTTAGAAATCTAAATTACTGAAAAATTCATAGGTCCTTTTTCCTATTTTAAATTTCCAGGATATTAGACTCCACAAAATGCAAAGTGTGCTCAAAGAGCCAAATAAATTTTCATATTAGTTTAAGTCAAAAACATTGGGAAATCTGATATAGAAATATAACCACTACATAATTTCCTTAAAATCCTACAACAAATTTCTCTTGATATTAAGATTCATCATTAATCTTCTCTACCAATAAAGGTAATAAAAATAGGGGGACTATAAAGAAAATCTAGGTCAATAAGAGGCAATGATGAAGAATTTGTTCGTCCTAGCATTTTTCTCCTTGACCTCAAACTGCTGTACTATTCTTTTTCTTATTGAAGTATAGTTGATATACAACCTTGTATATATGTACAACAGTGATTCACAATTTTAAAGGGTATACTCCATTTATAATCATAAAAACTAGGCTATATTCCCTATGTTGTACAATATATCCTTGTACTTATTTGCTACATAGTAGTTTACACCTCTCAACCACCTACCCTGACACCTTGCTCTTCCCTCCTTCTCTCTCCACTAGTAACTACTACTTTGTTCTCTACTTCTGTGAGTATATTTCTTTTCTTAAAAAATGTATTCACTACTTTGTTTTATTTTTTCAGATTCCACACATTTGTTGTTGTTCAGCTGCTAAATTATGTTCGACTCTCTGTGACCCCATGGACTGTGTGTCGTACGCCGGGCTCCTCTGTCCTCCGTATCCCTGGAGTTTGCTCAGAATTATGTCTATTGAGCTTGTGATGCCATCTAAGCATTTCATCCTCTGCTGCCCCTTTGTCCTTTTGCCTTCAACCTCTCCCAGCATCAGAGTCTTTTCCAGTGACCCAACTGTTCGCATCAGGTGGCCAAAGTATTGGAACTTCATCTTTAGCATCAGTCCTTCCAATGAACATTTAGGGCTGATTTCCTTCAGGATGGACTGGTTGGATCTCCTTGAAGTCCAGGGGACTCTCAAGAGTCTTCTCGAGCAACAAAGTTTGAAAACATCAATTGTTTAGCACTCATCTTTCTTTATGGTCCAACTCTCACATTCGTACATGACTACTGGAAAAATCATAGCTCTGACTTTCTGAACTTCTGTTGGCAAAGTGACCTCTCTGCTTTTTAACATGTTGCCCAGGTTTGTCACAGACATCGAAGGAGCAAGTGTCTTATAATTTCATGGCTGTAGGCACTGTCCACACAGATTCTGCAGCCCAACAAAATAAAATCTGTCAGTGCTTCCCCTTTTCCCCCTTCTATTTGCCATAAAGTGATGGGACCAGATGCCATTATCTTAGTTTTCTGAATGCTGAGTTTTAAGCCAGTTTTTTCACTCTCCGATTCCACCCTCATCAAGAGGCTCCTTAGTTCTTCTCTTTCTGCCAGTAAAGTGGTATCATCATAACTGAGGTTGTTGATATTTCTCCTGGCAATCTTGATTCCAGCTCGTGATTCATCCAGCCTGGCATTTCGCATGACGTAGTCTGCACAGAAGTTAAACAAGCAGGGTGACAATTTACAGCCCTGTTGTACTCCTTCCCCAACTGGGAACCAGTGTGTTGTTCCACGTTCCATTCTGCAGCTTCTTGATCCACAGACCCACAGGTTTCTCAGGAAACAGGTAGGGTAGTCTGTTACTTTCATCTCTTTAAGAATTTTCCACAATTCATTGTGATCCACACACACGTGACATCACACAATATATGTCTTTCTGACTTATTTCACTTAGTATAATGTCCTTCAAGTGCATCCATGATGCTGTAAATGGCAAAATTTTCTTCTTTTTTTAAGCAATATACCACTGTATATCTATACCATATCTTCTTTATCCACTCATGTGTTGATGGACATTTAGTGTTAGTTACTCAGCCGTGTCAGACTCTTTGTGCTCCCACGGACTGTAGCCCATCAGGCTCATCTGTCCATGGAATTCTCTACCAAGAATACTGGAGTGGGTAGCCAATCCCTTCTCCAGGGGATCTTCCCAATCCAGGGATTGAACCTGGTCTCCTGCATTGCAGGCAGATTCTTTACCGTCTGATTCAACAGAGACACTTAAGTTGCTTCCACACTGCAGGAAGATTCTTTACCAGCT